TTACGCTTGCATGGATAGCCTTTAACTGTTTTCTTTCCCGTAAGCAAAGCTTAGAAACAAACCTGTCAGTGTGTGGGTTGATAATACCGACAGCATGATCTCGCTGTAGCTAAATGAGGCAATCCCAAGGTTGAGCAGGCGTCCAGTTGTTTCTCAGACATTGGTGCTTGTCTGAGCGCAGACTGAGCTGGTCAGGCATCCCCGGTGGCAATAAACTAATCTACAAAGCAGGGCATGAATGTTAAAACGCGTGGGGAAATTTACTGGTCTAAAAAATCAGATATTTTGGCTGGAATTACTCACAACTTTCAGGATTTTTTAGTCTTTTTAAAATTATATTTACATATCAAATTATTTTCATGAAGGTGGAGGCTTTTTGAGAATGATCTTCCTAAATATGTCTAAAAATCTAGGAAAAGATAACAAAGCTGCCATTTCATAAGGCTTTTGCAGTCATAAATTATTTTGCAGTCGTAAATGTATTGGATGTTATCCTGTGTATCTGTAATGTGCATTCAAACTTTCCTGCTCTGTTTAGCGATTTTATTTTTTAATTTCTTTTATTTTTAGTCCATTTTTTCTTCTGTACTTACTTTTCCCTCCCTTTTGTTTTAATGTAGGGGACAGCTTGCATGTATTTTAAACGCTTTTATCTCAATAACTCGGTGATGGAGTATCATCCTCGGATAATAATGTGAGTTATCAACATCATTGGACTATTCTATGAACAAGAGAGTGGGGGGTATAGTCCTTATGTCTGTCAAGACCTGGAAAAAAATGAGAGAGGAAATATGAGAGATTAAATACCAGTAAAGACAGCGTGGTCCCTTTCAGTTTCCATTTGGAAAAGCTTGCTGTGTTCAGAGCATGCTGTTGTGGAGACAGAATTTTCTGAACAGATCTCTTGGTACAAAGGTGGCTGCTGCATTTGTCAGTTGCTTACTTTTATTTTTTTCCTTTCCTGAAGGCTGACGTGTGCATTTTTGGCCTGTAAAGTAGATGAGTTTAATGTGTCCAGTGCACAGTTTGTTGGTAACCTTCGAGAAAGCCCACTGGGACAAGAAAAAGCCCTTGAACAAATACTGGAATATGAACTACTGCTCATTCAGCAGCTGAACTTCCATCTTATTGTCCACAACCCATACAGACCGTTTGAGGGATTTCTGATTGATTTGAAGGTAGTATGATTTGATGTGCCCCATACTCTATACAAATGTGCAAATCTGTCATGGCCTCTGATAGTAAACTTCATTTCATTTTGTGCCTCTTGCCTTAAAAGGTCTCGTTTCTAAAGCAATAGACAAATATCTGGAGGGAAATTGGTTTATTGGTGGTCTGTAATTTAGATTCTTTTTGCAGTGAGGAGATGGCCTACTTTTTAGCTGTACACAGAACTGTTGGGAGGTGAGAACAGCTGCTTACTTTCCTAAATACTTCACTTTTCAGACCCGCTATCCCAAGCTGGAAAATCCTGAAGTTTTGAGGAAGACAGCTGATGACTTCCTCAGTCGAGTGGCTCTGACAGATGCCTACCTGCTCTTTCCTCCCTCCCAGATAGCTCTTGCTGCCATAATATCTAGTAGTGCAAGAGCAGGAATTCATATGGAAAGGTGGGCTTGTCTTTTTTGTTACAAGTATGATTTAAACAGTTTATTTGCTTCTTTTATAAAATTGTTCTGCTCTAGACACTCTTAACTAGTAGAAGTGTGTATTTGCTGGTCATTAACGATCAGTAAAGTCTTTGAGTGTGTTTCAAAACAGAATTTTACTGGTTTGTTTTTTTTCACTTGGTTTATTTATCCATTTTCAAAACACAAGTGATAAATTCCATTAGTTGGTGACTGATAATTAGGGCAGCCTAGGATTTTCAGGCTTGTCTTAAAGATCAGAGCAGAGAAAGCAGAAATACAGTAGGAACTGAGAGAGTGAAACTTCTCACTTTTCTCCTTTGAGTGATCTGTTGGATTTTTAAGGTATCTGAGGTTGCAGAGTCTGACAGCTAATTGGCATACAGAAGCCAAGTGCTGTATTTGGCTGGTGCAGCTCTTCAGTTTCCATGGAAATGGACCAGATTGTTTTAAGTCAGTCCTTTCCTTTCTGTGGTCTAGCTGCTGGTGTTTGCTAAAGGCATTATCAAAACACTCTGATATCCTTGCTGAAATGTAGGGTTTGTTAGGTTCTTTTTAAGGACAAAACAGTCTTTTGTTCAGGAAAACAACTGAGGTTGTAGCTCTAAGGAGCTGTATCTGGAGTTTTTTAATCATAGGATGCTTTGTGTGAGTGTTTTACATCAGGGTGTAAGGCCAGCAGCCATGAGGGCTGATGCTAAATGCAAACAGTTCTTTTCACAGAAGCTTCCCTTCCACCTGCTCTAAACAAATCTCAGATCTTATGTTCTGCAGGAACTGGACAGTGTGGGAGTATTTTCAGCAGGGTTCACTGCTCTCAGAGTAGTGTGAAAACACTCAGTTGCTTCTTATAACTTTAAATTGTTGATTTCATTCCTGAATTTGTATTCTGCCCTACTTGTGCCAAAATTCAGAAAAGCAGAGTTACAGAAAGGATTTGTGGGTAGCATGTGTATCCAGGTGTGTGAACCTTATCTGTGCATATTCATGAATAACTTGAGTCACCCCTCTGCGCTCACTTGTAGGTCCATTTGAGTAAAGTGTTCTCACCAAGTCTAATCACAAAGCTCTAGCAGATGTATATAATAAATAATACACATTTTATCAATTAAGGGTAGCTGCCACAAATAATTATGGCATTTTATTTCAAGAACTTGTTCTTCTATGTCTATTTGCAGTTATTTATCAGAAAATCTTATGCTGAAAGAAAACAGAGTATCCTTAAGCAATCTACTAGAGGCCATGAAATGTAAGTAAACCTGGGGAATGCATGGGAAAGGGAATCTGTAAGGGAGGAAACCCAGCTTTTTCCAAACAGCAGCAGCTTTGAGCAGAAAGGTGTGCTGGGAGTGGTTGTCTTCACCTCAGGGCATGTGTGAGGTAAGTAAACAGGGGCAGTGGAGTGAATGACCTCAAATGGGGATGCAGGGGGAGAGAACAGACAAAAATAAAAGGCAGAGAGCCCGATGCTTCTCAGAACATGAGCTCCATCGAACATGAAGTGCTAGCAACTTACTCCAGAATCAGAAATCTAATTTGGGTAGTAGATAATGTCTTTTTGTAAGTCAGGATAGATTGACACATTTCACTCCTGCCTTAAAACTGACCTCGTCAGGCAGGAGCCTGCACACAGCTGCTTCTGCCACCAGAGGGAGGGTGACTTTCTGAGCCCGGTGATGGGCCAGGATTTGTGCTTCACTTCTTCTGGAGCTATCAGGATGTTGCAAAAGATCTTCAGGTGTGCTAGTGTGGAAAACATAATCAAAGATTACATATGCATAGGACTGTATGTGTGTATAAGTGTGTGTGTGTATATATATATA